AAATATGCCTATTCCTGTTAACGAGAAACTATCTCTGGCTGCTGAAGTCGATGTACTTCTCTCAAATTGTAGCCAATCTCCTTGGTTTGTATAAGACAAATAGCGAGCTTAGGGTCCCACGTCCATCCCCCCAGGACGTCTTCAATACTAACCACTTCAGGACTTATTTCAGGCTGATCACCTTGTCTCTGTGTATACTGCTTACAAACATTGCCGAAAACTCCGAGATGCACTGACATATTGACGACGTGGAAGCATCTCACTCCTTTCAATGCTTTAATGCTATGTATCATTGCAGGAATCTTCAGAAGCATTCACGATCTGGACAGGTAACATGCACGCAGTGCGTCTTTAACTCACAGAACTGGTCGCACCGGGAAACAAATACCACCTTGACACGCGCATTGTCCGGGAAACGACTTGATTCGATGTCGATTTTGATAAAATGTAAAGAATGGCGGACTAGACACTTGTGACTAGTTTTCAAAGGGCCTCCGGATGTCTGCGTATAGTGTTACTCTCCACCCTCCGGCCCATATGGGTTTGCTTATGTAGATGACTAATTTACGTATCATCACAGTTACCAAAAGTAAAGAACATGCCAGCTCATCCTAACTTTCGATCAATGCGCCACGTTTTTAGCTTGTTTGAGTGCCACTGACGTGATTTATGAACTGTCCGTCGAAATTCAAACTGTCTTGGTTTCGACTCACTTTTTGCAGACTGCTTGTGGACCTTTTCTTTTTTCGCTCCTGCTAAATGCTTTCGTCCCTCATGCAACATTCTTTTATAGATTCGTCATCTTAATTGTAACTGATTATGTAATTGTGCTTCAAGCTGTTAGCATTTCAGTGCTTTGCCTGACTGTTATGACTTTTTGGATCCGCGAAGATGGACGTCCCACTATTCTACAGTCTGAAGACCTGGACGGGAGCCGACACATCCAGAATTTTGCGTTGTTGGCATCTCGGATTTTCCGAAAGCTGATCATAAAACAGGAAATCGCTTTTGTCATTCAGTTTATTTTAGCTTGAGAAAGTGCAGTGCACGCTTTATGTGCAAAATGAATGCCGTCGTTGCACATCGAAAAGGGCCGCGTGCTTCTAGGTGAGTTTTGGTCTCAAAATGGAAGTTTAGTGTACTTTTGAAGATTTTGAATGTAAATGTCATAAGTAAATCCCCGGAAGCTCCTCCTGGGATTACCAAATGGATGTGCAGAAGATCCTTTAGGACGCTTTTCTTCACCAAGTGTCGGCACAACATATTCGCACTGACGATGTCAGATTGCTATTGATATTTTCGTGGTATGATGATCAAGACGCTACCATACTCGCTAGTGTGCACTGGATTCAAGAACGCTAGTGTCATTTCTGCCTTGACAGCACCTATAAATTGCTGCAAATATGAAGATGATTATTTCATTCACCTACGTTTCCAAGTTTTAGGTGGTCGTAAGTAATCGGTGTTCATAATAAAAAGATGTGCCTCTATTAACTGTGCTGACTGAAATTCGTACCACTGCCACTTTCAGCGAACTTCTAACTTTAAGCTAAACACGAAAGCGCAAAGCGAGCTCGCGAGACCTGCGCAAAATTTCCAGTAATTCACACTTATCGTTAATTTGCACCATCACAACCAGACGAAATAGCCACCGCTGGAGTCTGCAATGAGCCGTAACTTGTAGAAAGTAAATTTCCAATCCTCACGCAGTCAAACTTTCATCTTTGTGTGTACCAATTGGACTGCCGCCAACTTGAAATTCCTTACCGACGTGAACTCCATACCTTCTCCACACCACAGAGATCTTGGGTGAAGTATATTACCGATGAATAAAGCGTGCTCGCTTACTGTGACGTCTGTCCCCATACAGTGTTTAAAATCAGCCAGAGTTTCTGGGACGAACAATTGGAAATACTATGGCGTTTCACCAACCATGAAGAAACGTTATAGCCCCCGCCTCTCAGTTTCCCCCGAAACCTCGTTATCCTATGTTTCCTTCGAATTGCTCCGTGTACGTATGACCCATCTCAAGGAAGCAAGTTGCTGAGATCTGTCATTTTTACTTGCAAATAGGGGCACAAATGCTTCATTTACAGTGCGCATCTTGAGACCCTTCGCTGTATTTAGTCTAGGCTTCAAGGGGTGAGAACAGAGTGATGCTATTTGTCTTAGACGGTTTTCTAACAAGGCAGTTAAAATTCTTTATGCAATCCTAGTTGAGTGTGTTTCCGTACTGACGGTGAGTAGGGATCTCCACAACTTGACCTTTTAAAGTTTTACTGTTTGCTGGCTTGTGTCAATGAGGGGGAGAAATTTCCGTTCTGTAGGACAGTTATGTTAGTATACGAGGTCAATGGCTGTTAGGCAATTAAATAAACTGATGATCGGCAAGACTTACATGAGAGTCCAAATCATCCTGACTGATTGTCCACAAGGGGGTTTTAGGCTATTTGATAGAATGTTGGACTTCTAACGCTCGATGATCTAAAGACGCGGAATAGATGCTCAGGTCTTGTAGGTGCAGTAGGCTTGGGTAAAGCCGGCTAACAACGGCTAATAAGCCAGGAATAGCCATCTCAGTCTCCTCTGTCCTGTCCATTAATTTTGTTCTGACTACATTACTGGCCGTCGTGCGACTGCCTGCTGGGCTCTAGATCGAGCCCCAAAGCGCACTGAGACAAGAATGCCCCGCCATTGGATCGGCAAACGCACTTTTAACATCGCAAATAATAGTACTGATAATTTTATTCATGACCCGCGGGGGTGCGTTCATAGGAAGTAAGAATAACTTTTTCACGAATTTTACAATTTCAGGACAGATATACAAAACCTATACAACACTTAATTAATAGTTATTGAATAAGTAGTATGTTACGAAGAATGATGAGCGAGCAGTGAAAAAAAACTCCTAGACCATAAACAAAATGAGTATGACTGGATGAACAGTATAGGAGAAGAAACTCTCGCTCCAGAATGTATAAAAACAGGCAGGACCGGCCTGTATGTGGCAGTGTATAACGGATTTAATGAAGGGGTAAGTGAGTGGGTAAGGCAGGACTGGCCTGTGTGCGGTATTGAGTAAAAGGTTCGAAACGGGCATCAAGGCAGAAATCATATGCCGGATTAGGCCATTCATGTCAAAGTTTTGAATAGAAAACCAGTCTCGAGGCGTTGGAAATCCAGATGCGATCGGTTACAGCCAGCCGAGTCCAGCCGAGGAGGGGGCAAGGAAGATACGACCAGACTACTAGTATACGGCGAATACAGAAGGTTCCGCCAAGGGTAAAAGCACTTTTAACGTCGTAAATATTCCCTATCACAAACGACAAGACATAGAGACTATGAACCAATTTCCAGGCGGCTGGACTTCTTAACGCTCAATAATCGAAGAGCGCGGGTAAGGATGACGGCTAAGAAAGTTAAGAATGTCCATCCCAGGTGTCTTCGACTTCGCTGTTAATGTCCAGCTGTTAAACATCCGTCTCCTGATAGCACCTTTGAGGGTATTCAAGGACAGTGCTCATGACCTACTGTTTGCGGATGACTGCTCCCTAAATACCGTAACACAAGAGGACATGTATCGGAGTGTTGACCTAGTCGTCTCCGACTGCCTCAACTTTGGTCTGACCATCAGCACGAAGAAGACAGTGGTCCTGCACCAGCCCGCTCTTAGTACTGACTACACCGAGCCCCTACAAAGGTAGGCGGGACTCACTTCAACGCCGTGGAGAAATTCGCATAACTTCGAAGTTTAATTGCAATGAGCATCAAGATCGACGACGAAGCTGAAAGTCACATCTCAAAAGCCAGCCAGGTTTTCGGCTGGCTAAAATACTCCATCTGGAACCGTTGCGACATTCTTATCGACACTAAAGTGGGGGTGTAAAGGGCTGCTGTCCAGACAACTCTTGTACGGGCGGAAAGTGAGCAGTTTATTAAGGACTAAAAAGAAGACAATCGTGTTTACCTCAGTTGCCTCGGAGGAATACCGGAAGCGATAAAGTCTCCTAGACACTGAGATCCCAGCAAGAACTGACAACTCCCTATATCCACGCATTGCTGACTCGGACAAAATTGTCATGAATCGGCCACCTTGTGATGACTGACGACGAGCTCTCACACAGGCAGTTAGTTTACAGCGACGTAGCTATGGGTGGTCGCAGAGAAGGCTGGCAAGAGCGTCACTACGAGGATACCAGGAAGATCTCATTCAAGCGCCTGCAAATCAATCCAGACGCCTATGAGGACCTCACAAAAGAACTTTAATCATGGCGCATTACTGTAAACACCGTGACACTCATCTTTGAAGCCAGACAAATATTCGTTACCAAGAGAAGGAATGAGGTCCCCAAGATTCAAGTGCTACGGGCCAATGATGCTATCCCCAGTCCCTGCACTGTGCCCACACTGTCTATAGACATACGGGCACGAATCGGAATTGTTGATTCTCTGCGGACCTAGTGCAATCCCAACATGACTGATCCACCCTTTATCTTACAAAACAACACCGGCAGTTCGACCGTATTTGTCGACGATGTCCACTGTGTGCTCCAAGGCAAGGTAAGGGCAGGGACGTTGACTTGCGCGTGCATTAGTTTGTAGTGAATGTAGACTTGCACAGCATCTACCGCACTCCCTCCTCCCTCACCTGGACCTGGCGTCAAGACAGAGTCAAGAAGATCGGAGGTGAGGAGGGCGCAGATGGATGGCACGGCCGAGCCTGCGCCTTGGCGCTTCACTCCACACCCCCTGGTCCACACAGCAAATAATCAGGTTTTTGACCAAAAACATCAACAATGGAACGGCGGCAGGGGTCGCAGTGTGCGCGACGTCTGCCGGCAACGGGGTCTGACACCGCACCCCGAAATGGTGGCATTTGTAATGGTGTGCAAATCGATAACGCCTGCCAGAATCCGATATGTCCCCCGTGTTGGTCCAGCTCATCTACCTAATGACCCGTTCGGGGGCACAAAAAGCAACAACAACCAATACCATTAATAACACCTGTGAGGACATTTCTACCGATCTGCAAAACTACTGCTGATGCCTATAGCACCAACGATGTGAACTAAATTCCAAATTAACTCCAGTGCAATCGCCATTTTTCATCGCGTACTGGACTGTTCGGTCACTAGTCAATCCATCATTTTGGACTTGATGGACCATCGCGTGTAGCTCCGACATACATCATTCACTTACGCCTCACCACCTTGCAATGCCCAGGACGTCCAGGCAGCGCATGAGTCTAATTGACCATATGGGCAGCCAAATTCACCACAATATCATCACGCCCGAAAATTCCTTTATAACCAGCACTTCCCAACTTAACCACCACCAGTGTCACCACACCGACTGCTCTCTAGCCACGGTCTTATCCTGTCCTTACCGTCGCCACACACTTGCACCACGCATCGGCCTGGTCGGGCACTTGCGACTCCATCGCACTGAAACTGGCGTACCAATGTCCGGAGGGTCAATATGCGCCCATCGCTCCTGCTTCATCTGCCCACACTGCTCAAGGACATTCGGTCTTCGCATGGGCCTATTCGGCCATATCCACTTTCATGCAGATCGTCCATCAAACCGTCCTCCAAACCCTACCGTCACACCTCGCCCAAACTGCTTATACGCCCATCCTCAGGCTACTTATGACACCCCCCCCCCACATTACTCCCGATATCCCTTAAGCATCATGCCTTGCGATCCGTTTCGCCGTCGCATATCCAGGCATCCCACGTAAGTGAGAAGCATACTCTTTGACGTATCCTGGCACATGGATTTGTGGCCAGGTCGTGTGCGGGCAACGTAGACTGCATATTGCAGCTGTATCAGACACTGCACCCAATTTGGTCCCTAGCTATTTGACAGGCTCGGACAGTCGATTGGTGCATGAGAGAGAGAGAGAGAGAGAGAGAGAGAGAGAGAGAGAGTAAGTCAGCCCGACATTGCGGAATTCATACGCACGGCAACAAATCAGCGCACTCCACAAAGTAATAAACCTGATGCCGTTTAATGTGACTAATTGCAATGTTTTGCAAGTCGGCAGGACCCCATCTCTGAGCCAAAGGCTTAACCACCTAAATGGTGTACCATTACGGGAGGTAGACGCCAAGGAAGACTTGGGTGTGTGGGTAACGGCTTCTCTAAAACCGTCACTCCACTGCTCCAAGGTAACCAAGTCCGCGATATCAGTCCTTTATCTTGTCAAGAGAGCTTTCTCTACCTTCGATGAGGACTGCTTCGTTAAAGTCTTTCAGACTTTTGCACGGTCACAGCTAGAGTTCGATATTCAGGCGTGGAAAACTTGGACCTCTAAAGATCTCAGCATCCTTGAGGAAGTTCAGAGGCGGACAAACAAACTCATAAGTGGAAAGGGTTCACTACCCTATGAAACACGAATATCCAATTTTGGGCTTTTTCCACTGAATTACAGACAGCTAAGAGGCGACCTTATACAAGCATGCCGTATAATGCGCGGCCAGAACTGCTGTCTCTTACCTGCTGATTTCTTTGAGTTCGCGACCACAACGAACCTCCGAGGTCATCCAATTAAGCTACGTGTGACTGGCGCCAAGCTGGGCATTCGGAAGTTCTTCTTTTCAAACAGAGTGATCGAGGCCTGGAATGCTCTGCCTGCAGATGTCGTCATGTCCACCTCCATTGAGGCTTTTCAGCGCAAGTTGGACCAGTGTACCACTAAAGGTCATAATGTCGCCTGACCGACATCGTCTTAGCATTTCGTTCGAGCATTTTATGAATGTTATAATATTACTGTCTGTATTTCAGTAACGTTTGTTTTGTATTATTGTCCCAGGTCCGTTTAATGTGAGTGTTGGCATTCAATTTGTCTCCCTCAGAAACTGTCATAGCACCAACTATCCATAGCCAGACTACTGTACAGCAGATTTAGTAACTTTAATGTTTTTAATACTTGGAACAACTCGTTTATCCGTCTGGTTTCAAAAACTTTGCCCATCTGAGAAAAAACTTCTGTAGCTGTTTAATATTTCCATTTTCAAATTTTTGATATAATTCGCTTCCAAGTAACAAATAGGGAGTTCAAAGGTACAACACCTATGTTTCCCTCAAATAAACTAAAACTGAAATTATCACAATGCGTTAGGGGTCGTGGCTTGAAAGCTGCCCAACGGACTGGATAACTCGATCCGCGTGGTGGACTGAGAGTCGGACTCAATGCCTCTCTGTGGTCTTTATGCCAGTCTCACGCTCCTGAGATCCGAGCCGACCATTGCATTGAAGATCAAGCACAGCTCACACGAATGCGATGCATGTTCTCTGGTGTACCCTGTTACATTATTTGGTCATCAGGTCACGTGCGCGTTCTAGTAGCGATCAGAATATAGTTGTCAGACTTGTACGCCGAAAGGTGCTGAAGCACACTTAGTCCAATGAATACTGAAAATTTAGCAAAACTAATGCACACGGAATGCTAATTATGCGCCATTTAAGACCTATCTTCCAAGGAAAGCAAGGAGAAAAGCCAAACGATGCCCTCTTGCAGGCGTAACGGTTATCTGGGGAAGTCCATGTGACCTGCTTCTCGAAGCAAATGCCCTTGAGCGCTCGGATGGGTTCAAGGGAACTTAATAATAACTTTTTAATTCAGCAGCTACAGCAGATGTCACTGTCGATACAAGAGAAGATGCGAGTTCCAGGAACTAGTTGATCATAAGAAGAAGAAGAAGAAGAAGAAGAAGAAGAAGAAGAAAAAAGAAGAAGAAGAAGAAGAAGAAGAAGAAGAAGAAGAAGAAGAAGAAGTAATCGCTGGAACAAGGGCTTTATTCGCCTGACGTTTCAGATTCTCACTTGGACCCATCATCAGAGACAGTGGCAGAAAAAGGTGACTCGTGAACTGTAAGTTGCAGTAAGTATAGGATGCAGTCGCTATGCTACCGCATACCTATATTAATTAACCGCCCCCCCCCCTTCATCAAGGGCTGTTGCGCGCTGGTGCGCTAATTGCTTGATGGCCGGCATGCAAGTTTTTAATTGCTGACATCTCATCACCCGTGTTGGATGCTGACGTGATGATTGCTCAGCCATCTGGCTCACCGGCTTGCGCGCTCCTCGAGTGGTCAATTGCTTTGGCCAGTCTATGCCTCAGCACAGAATATGGAGTGGAAATGTCGTTGCACTTGTTAATAGACTGAGGCCCCGTGAACCATGACTTAAGCAACTCGCGGCTCACGCGATTATCCCTCTCGCGAGAATTTCGGCCTCATCAAACTTGAATGTGTGGCCGGGTCTCGTCGAATAGGCCGCGACCTGACAGTTGGCGTCATTTCTCCGTACCGCTGCCACGTGTTCGGCAATTCGCGTCCGGATCAGTCTTCAAGTTTCTCCGACGTAGTTGCTTTGTCCGCAACTGCACCAGATCCGGTAAACGACTCCAGATGTTTCTTTCCGTGGAGGTGGGTCTTTTGGTCTCATCACCCGACGCCTTATGGTGGCCTGCGGTTTGTGTGCAACTCCAGTGTCAGTGTTGATTATTTCAGCTGGTGACAGTGTTCATGGCCTATACAATAGCTCCTTTCCGCAACATCTGCGCTGTGCGTGTGGGTAGGCTTGTTTTTCTGATCCCAGGTGGTGACGCATTTCATGATTGGCTGGATTAAGACCGAAAAATTTGTAACGGTGTTGTCTCGGGACACTCTCAGTCCTGTAGCCACTCATGGCAGAGTTCGGCGTATTCGTGATCACTGCCGCCCATAAGGTGCATTTTCACTTCCATGTGTAGTAAGAACGCATTAATTACCTCAAATCTGTAAAGTAACACGCAAAGTCAGCTGTAGGAGAACATGTTATCACTGGAGCAAGAAGTTAATTGGTCTGACGCTTCGGATTCTCACTCGAACCCATCATCGAGACAGTCGCAGATAAGGGTATTGAAGGCACAAAGACTGCAGTATTTATAGTACGTAGCCGTCGTGAGACCACGTGCATGTTATAATTAGCAGCTCTCGCAATCACCGCTGGCGGTCGTAGTTGATGGGATGATTAATCGTCAGTCCACATCCGAGTCGTTTGCTGCCGCAATTAAATCATCCGTGCTGGATGTCGGTGTGATGATTACTTGGCAGTTTGGCTCACCATCACTGGGATTGTCGCTCGCCCGCGCCTACACCCCACGTGACTGATTTCCCTGCCCAGGGAATTTCTCAGCACCGAATACGGTGACAGGAGGTCATTGCGTTCGTTGATGGAATGCGGGCCTGAAAACCTTGACTCGTGCAGCTCGCGGCTCACGCGGTTGTCAGCTCTTGCGAGCATTTCGTTCTCCTGGAACTTGAAAATATGATCCGATCCCGTGGAATGGGCTGCCACCTGAGATCTATTGTCTTTCCTTTTCACCGCTGCTGTGTGCTCGAACATCCGAGTCTAGGGTAATATCCCATTCTCTCCAACATGGTTGCTCTGTCCGCAATTGCGCCAGATCCACTAAACGACTCCAGACGTTTCCTGCCGTTGCAACGGATATTTCGGCCTCATGACTTGGCGCCTGATGGTTGCTTCCGGCCTTTTTGTACAACCCCAACTTCAAGTGGAGTGAGAAGGCGACTGACGGCTTCCGAGAAGTTCCTTTCACGTACGAAAGAACTCACCGAAATTTAGGGACGATTGGATTTGGCATCTGATTTTGTTCGCGTATGCGCTGCTTGGTAAAGTTGCGCGGGTAGCTCTTAGCTCTTAGTACCCGTCGAAGACATTTTGATCCATCAGCCTTGACTTTCCAAAAATACCCTTCTCTATACTTTCAAATTTATGATTATAGAGGCCGCTAACCGATCGTTTTTATGGAACTCACTCGACCAGTTGTGCCTTACGGGGTCTCTCTCGAACTTAACCTGTAGTCGCACAGCGGCGTATGATATAGGCAGAATGTTATTGACGACAAAGTAAACTTCGTTTGTAGATGTATAGAATGTGTTCTCATACCAAAAACGTAGTAAGTATGAAAGAATAAATAAAATAACGTCCAATAATAGTGTTTCAGTGGAGTTTACATCTAAATATGTATGAACAACGATAATTGAGCTTTGGCGAATGACAATGTTCACAACTGGCCGGCAAAATGGGCACAGACGTGACTTGCGAATGCAAATTTGGTTATGATGAATCAGAATTGCATCTCAAAAGCTCTTTCCCCATCCACTGCATTCCAATTCGCAGGTTAAAGTGCGTATGGACTCAATTGTTGGAAGAAGATAGACGGTCGGTCTCCACATTCACACACATAAGGCTTCAGGGGGATCTCGAAGATTAGGTTAATGAGAGCACAGTACATTTCATAAAATGTAGAAGCTATTTCAATATCATCCTCAGGTCTGAGTGTAACCAAATTTGCCAATCAATTACTAATCCTTCAAGCCATAACTGTTGAGGGACTGTGATGGCTTTTAACGACGTTCGATTTAGAATAGTAAGGAATGCGCCCGTTTTCCAGTGGGATGGATACCGTTCCAACATTGAACTAACAAATAGAAGCGAACAGGCGAGTTCCAGGATGCAGTCCAGGAGAAGAAGAAGAAGAAGAGGAGGAGGATGATGATGATGATGATGATGATGATGATGATGATGATGATGATGATGATGATGATGATGATGATGATGATGATGATGATGATGATGATGATGATGATGATGATGATGATGATGATGATGATGATGATGATGATGATGATGATGATGATGATGATGATGATGATGATGATGATGATGATGATGATGATGATGATGATGATGATGATGATGATGATGATGATGATGATGATGATGATGATGATGATGATGATGATGATGATGATGATGATGATGATGATGATGATGATGATGATGATGCGATCACTGGAACAGTAAGTTTATTGACCTGCTTACCATTGGAAGTCGTAATTAAGGCGATGATGTCCCGTCAGTCGTCGTCCGAGTCGTTAACTGCCGCAATTTCATCATCCGTGTGGGATGTTGACGTGATTGTTACCCAGCCATTCGACCAGCTGTCACCAGGATATTTGAGCGCCCGCAGCCTCCCCACGTGACTGGTTCCCCTGCTCAGGGAATGTCTCAGCAACCGGACGGAAATGGCAGACCTGCCTATACGAGCACAAACTGGAAAAACGGAGTCTGGACTCGAACTCGCAGCTTGCAACTCACGTCGGAGAAACTGGCCACAATTTTGACTTTCAAGGAGCAACCATCTTAAGCCGGGGCAACTCAAAGATCGAAAGTCTCACACTCAAGGCTGGGTACTCAGATGCCAACCCCATCAACAGGCATCTAGACCTTCCTGCGGACTATAAAGTCCTGCGTCCCTACACATACCATGAGCAGGATAGGGCGTCCACGCGGAGTTTAAGAATGCCGAGGAAACACGACCCGTCGACTAATTCACCCGGAGGGGGAGAACAGGTGCCAGCGATCCCCATCGGGGTGACGACACGCAACACAGGAGGCAGCCTACATTCACATACAACGGCCAGAAGGCCAGGGCAGCGAAAGAAGAAGGACAATCGACTGACCCATGGCCAACTAATTCGGCCGTTTATTCAAGATTCTGGTCGATTTTTTGCAAAAAACGCTTTGATAATGAAGAGCCGGCCAAGCCCTCCGAAAAGTCAGTCATCCAATTCCACTGATCCAGTGACCTCTCCATAATTCTCAGATTATCGACCCGGATCTCTTACATTTACTAACCTTATTTCACGTTTTCGACGAACATTTCGCGTGCGGATCGGCCTCTTTGGACATCTCCAGACCCAATGCAACCACAACTTGGCAACTCCACCAGCTGCCTCCACAAACGTCCCAATCATCACTCATGATTCAACCTCCGCGACTACGGCCACGACAGCTACCAACTCTCCCATCCCCACTAGCGGTGAGAACACTTTCGAGCGCCGTCCCCACAACCAACGCCCCCACTATCAGCCGTGTGGACTGGATCCCAACCTATCCTGATTTCGATTGCAACTTTACCTAACGCATCGGCCTGATCGATTACTTGTGGATCCATCCCACTGAGACTGGCACGTCAGTGCAAGGGGCTCTTGCCTACACCCCACGCATCCGCCTCCACTGTCCACACCGCCCACGCACATTTATTCACTGCATGGACATGTCCGGCCACGTGTGTACCCCTGACGGCAGAATCCGTCGCAATAACGACACGTCCAGTACACCTTTCACACCTTCCATCTCCAACGCTATCACCTCCCCCTCTCCCCACCGGCGCGACGAAACTTGCTCATCATATTTGTGCTGTGTATGGAGAGGGCGCTAGGCCAGAAAGAACCACTCAATATTCGTCCGTCAAATTCAAAAGTGGCCCGTGAAAAATTAAAGACGATCGACTGACATTGACAAGGACCGCCTGGATGCACTTTGTGAGATTATTGTCGGCAAGCAAATAATGGAATTGGGGAAAAAACAGGCTGTGACCATCAGACCATTTTCAGTGCCTTAGTGTGGAGGGCGAATATTCAAAATCTTGGAGTCTGGGTGCCACCTATTTCGTCGGTAAACAACATTGACGCCTTGCTATTGCTGTCGATTTCCTTAAGTGATATAAAGGTACTTGTGAGCACAGGCAATGTTTTCTCTGTCGCATATTCAGTAGCTATAAGAAATGGTACCATGGAAGCACGGAACAGCGAGCTAAGCCCGATCAGCAATTCACACGTCGGTAAAGGTCAAACCAGGTTTCCGCGTGGTTGGAGAAGGCAAAACAAGACGATAGAAAAAAACCTCCACGCGGACCGACTGCGTGTCATAAATGAAGTTTTTCTACAAGAACAACCTAACCGTCAAGGCCAGCTGATTCTTCAGCATGACAACCTTTTAATTCATATAGTCCAACTCCTAAAAATAATCATTGAAGTTCTCACCCGAGAAGTTCCGCCGCATCCAATTTGCAGTCCCGATCTCGTTCTATCCTCTTTTCACGTCGCTTTCAAACCCAATAGGTGGCGTTACTTTCGACAATTATGAAGATCGCATGGCCTCATTTATGTCTATAAATTACGGATTATTAAAACGGTTAGATCACAGTTGGTAGCCAGGAATGGGGAGCCAGACGGCGGGGTCCCTGTCTTACGGGAATGGTGAGAAAGGGGTTTATATGGGTGAGGTAAGTGGAAGTGCTGCTGAACGAATGCTGCAGTTTCGGGGAAAAAGTAAAGTAAACGAAAAAAGTGTTGGGAAGTTTTAGTAAGGTAGAGTAACAGCAGAAATTGAAAAAAATCCTACGGACAAAAGCACAGACTGCGGAAATGGAGGTAAATAGTGGTAGGAAATCCCTAACCTTAACCCTAACCATCACGTTAACCTCAAACCTTGCCTTAATCCTAACCTTAAACCTAACCTTAACACTAACCTTAACCGTTAACCATTAATCGTTAACCGGTAACCCTAACCCTACCACTGAAGCCGGACCCTATAACACAAATCCTAATCCTAAAACGTAACCTACGCCTAACCGTAGCCCTCACTAAACCCAACAGCCTGACCGAAACGGCCGACCTACCTCACGCAGTAGAAGCACACCTACTGATAACCAGTGTCCTAGGCAAGGTAAACACATCCACTGATAACAAGTAAGTACGTCGACGGTATCACCGTACAGTGCCTGACTACCAACAGCGATCTTACCATTAAAACTGGCAAGAAAACGATGACAGCAGATTTGTAAAACATTTGTCACGCTTTCCGCATCAAAGCAAATAACTGGGCCAAGATGCATTCTAGAAACCGCAAAAGCGCACTAAACAACCCAAAACTTCATTTTTCAGGCAGAAGGCAATATTCGTATTTCAGATGACTGAACCTGATGAGCTCACAAGGCCGCGAAACTTTGGCTCTGGGACGGAGTCAAACTGCTGACTCCCCATACTGCGTTCGAGTGTGCTACCAACTGAGCTTGCAGGGGTCAGTGAAGACTTTGTGGAATGCAGTATTCCTTGGTGGCAACGGGCTCGTGGCCCGGTGAGTAGAGGCGTGGACTTCTAAACCAGCAGGTCGCGAGTTCGAGGCTCGGGTGTTCCACACTTCGGGCTTGGGTATGGCTGGCTGACGACGGCTAATAAGCCAGAAACGGCCATTCCAGTCTCCCTTGTCTTTGTCGGTAATACCATTCTGCCTATTCCTTGGTGTGTTCGACGACCAGGAACCATCCTGGTAGTTCAGTTGGTAAAACACCCCCGAACTCTGTGAGACCAGAGGTTAGAGTTCCTCCCTGGACGCAAGTTTCTTGGCTCCTTAAAGCTATTATTTATGACTGCCCGATAGTGTAGGAGATGTTTGCTACTTAATTTATTCACGCACCAGAAAACGCCTCATGCAATGCCCGCTTTGCCTTCATTCGTAGCCCTTAATTGGTGATCCCAAGTTGATTGTACTGTAAAGGATATGCGGTGCTCCTAGCTGTTATTAACCTTACTTTCTTTCCACGAGGCGGCCATTACACAAGCGGTTGCATTCATTCTTTAAGTTGAAAATTGTGTTCCTATTTGAGATCCAACCACTAAAAGTCAAGGTAATTCTGTGATGAGCATAATTTATGTACACTGGTCAGGACAGTAAACCCTGTGCTGTTCCGTTCATATTCCTCTTTGGACTTGTGCTCAGAGTAGCATGCTCCCAGGAAATGTTGTTCTATCCGCTGAGAGTCCGCCTTCCGAGTCTGGGTTTGACTGGCATTCGGCGAAGGTTTGACCCGGATAGGTGTCGGTAACACGTAATGGCGCATTCCTGAAGTGCTTCTTGCGTCGTGAAACCAGGATATCTTTCTCCAATTCCAGCCTTTCTCGCCTGTTCTTGGCCCTCCGATTTTGAAACCATGTGATTACCTGTAAGGTAAAAAGCATTCAATGTCGTAAATGTTGCAGATGTCACGAGGGCTCGATGCATCACAAACTACATGCTGGATACAATAAAAATACACTAATGGTTACGAACGTATACAGTGATGGTTGGTGGTTTTCTCAAAACAAGACTTTCGTATAGGATGAACGGAAACGTTCAAGAATGCACGAACACCTTGGCAGTATGTAACCAGTTGATAAAATATCCCATAAAAATGGTGACTGAAGCTCTGAATGCCTATTCATTATGACGGATTTGTAATATTAATTAGCATGTAGCGTAATGCCGGTTTTTGAAGGAGCCATTTTCCACCTGTCTGCAAAAACTGCAGTCGGTAAAAAGGGGTTATTTATTGAGTATGCATTTTATCGGTTTTCGCCGCCCTTATTTCTGCAGAAAGCATTGTCAAAATATTCTTTTTTGTAATCAAATGGCAGCAAATCACCTTTTTCGAATCTTATCCTCGAATAAAAGTTATATCATGGTTTTAAGGGAAGTTGTTATTACGAGGTTTCTTAAGACCGTGCGATTTACATTCAAATACCATCTTAACTGCACGCTTATTAACGCTCTCTATGATATAGGGAACATGTTTAATATACACTCCAAGATTCCACAAGCCCTATATAGTGTCTTTCAAATAGTATAGATGGATTATGATTTTTATTACATGTTGACTGCAAACTCTAAACGCAAACGCAACGGTAGATGAGGATCATACTTATTTGGGAATCGAAAAAAACTTTTTCTAAAACCGCAATCTGTGCTTTTCCGCGCATAAAGTGGAAGCAGACGGTTGTTCTACGAGGCGACTACAAGAAATATTGTGAAGTATATTTTTCATAGAATATAATTACGTTTACGAGGGCGTCTGAAGTCAATGAAATAAATCCGCACTACTCAAGCAGTCATTTTTTTCCCTACTGGACTTTTGTAAACGGCCGAAAAGAAGTGCATTCGAAAACTGGTATTCTGCCGCTACTGAAATAGTTTTGGTTGATACAGAAAGATTATCAATATTAAAATGCCACGCAAGCAATCTCTTCTTGTCGAAAAATGTATTTCAGGATTTTAATTAACATTTGGTGAGATTGTGCTCTTAGGAAGACAGTTCTAAGGCAGTGCTTGCTACACGGTAATGTTCAGGAAAACACTGTTAAGCGCTAGTCTTTTGCCAATCAGAGGTAAAATTAATGAGATCCGCACACGCGCAGTCGGTCGTCTTACTGGGCAAATAGGAGCATTCATGGAAACCAAACTTTCAGACTAATGTC